TTTCTTTATTTTATCTTTCTTTTTTATCAACTACTCCTTTTTCTTTCTTTCATTCATTCTTTCTTTCTTTCTTTCTCCAATGATTTATCATGTTTATTTCTTTCTTCTCCCGAGGATTTCCTTCATTTCATTCTTTCTGTCTTTTTCCAATTATACTTTATTCTTTCTTTATTCTGTCAAGGATTTCCTTCCTTCCTTCCTTCCTTCCTTCCTTCCTTCCTTCCTTCCTTCCTTCCTTCCTTCCTTCCTTCCTTTCCTTCCTTCCTTCCTCCTTTCCTTCCTTTCCTTCCTTCCTTCCTTCCTTCCTTCCTTCATCTTCCTTCCTTCTTTCACCCTTCCTTCCTTCCTTCCTTCCTTCCTTCCTTCCTTTCCCTTCCTTCCTTCCTTCCTTCCTTCCTTCCTTCCTTCCTTCCTTCCTTCCTTCCTTCCTTCCTTCCTTCCTTTCCCTTCCTTCCTTCCTTCCTTCCTTCCTCTTCCTTCCTTCCTTTATTTCTTTATTTTCTTTTTTCCTTTACAACAAATCATTTTTCACCTCTATTTTTCTTTCATTTTTCATCTCTTTCCTTCCAACATACACCAACCCACTTATTAACTGACTTTATTCATTGTCATGTGTTGAGTTCAGAGTTCAATCTAATATTTAACACTTGCTTACAGACTCTATCTCATTGCTGTTAGTGTTATATTATTGTTTTTTTTTGGGGGGGGGGTTGTAACTCCTTAGCTAGGGATGGTAAGCATTTTGACCAGTCTACTTAGTTCTTTATCTTTGCCCTTGTCTTAATCCATTTTTGCTTCTTGTTTTTTTGTTTGTTTGTTTGTCATTTGGTTTATGTAAAAATAAACTGTCTGCTTTGAAAAGTTTATAAACCACAAAGATGATAAGGATTTATTCATACATTATATTACAATATCTAAATATTTATCTAAATTAAAATTTACAAATATTTCCCTAAATTACAAATTCTAAATAATTCTCTAAATTACAGTTCACAATTATTTCCCTAAATTACAATTTTTAAATGTTTTTCTAAAATGTTTAAATATTTATCTAAATTACAATTTGTGTTTCAAACCTATTTTTACATTTCTTTAACGGGTGACTCTTCTAGATAGATAGATAGATAGATAGATAGATAGATAGATAGATAGAAAGAAACTGGGTGAGACAGACAGAAAGATTGATAGAAACACTGAGATATATAGATAGACAGACAGACAAACAGAGGGAGGCACATTGAAAATAGATAGATATGAAGAGATTGAGATAGATATATACATACGTGCATATTAAGAAACTGAGATAGAAATAGAAGATAGAAATATAGATAGATAGATACAAACAGACTGAGGTAGAGATAGATAGATAGATAGATACGAACAGACTGAGATAGATAGATAGATAGATAGATAGATAGATAGATAGATAGATAGATAGATAGATAGATACGAACAGACTGAGATAGATAGATACGAACAGACTGAGATAGATAGATAGATAGATAGATAGAATAGGTTGAAATAGATAGGTTTTTACATTTCTTTTTTGGGTGACACTTCTAGATAGATAGATAGATAAATAGATAGATGGGGACACATTGAAAAAAGATATGAAGTGATTGAGATAGATACATACATATGAAGAAACTGAGATACATAGAAATATAGATAGATCTGAACAGACTGAGATAGATAACAGATTTCTTACAGTATCAGATTTATTCAATACAATAATTAATTTACATAATAAAAGAAAATGCTTAACTTTTCATGTGCATATCATTTTCTATGTAGCTTAGCCAAAACACCCCTTGAAAATAAAATAATAAAGTACAATGTGTTCAACTGTAGGTGGGTGGGTGTATGGCTGGCTGGCTGGGTTCCTGAAGACACAATTGTCCTACTTTTGTACCATAAAAATACCTATGCTTCTCATATTGAATAAATTCTCACTGATCCTATCACTTGATTTTGGACTGTGTGTTCCTCTTTCAAAGAATGGCTCACCCTTTCTCCTTGATCTCTTGACAAATCATTCTCTTCAGGTTTCTTGCCTCAAAATAGAATTGTGTAGTAATCCTCATAAAATAAACTTTAGTCTTTGGTCTTTGAATAAAAGCAGTTTGACTCAAAATCAATTTTCTTGTTTCATTACTCATTCTTCTTCTTTGTCTTCTTCTTCTGTCCTCCTCCTCCTCCTTCTTCTTCCTTGTCCTCTTTTTCTTCTTCTGCTACTCCTCCCCTTCTTTCTTCATCTCTGTCTTCTTCTTCTTCTTCTTCTTCTGCGCCTCCTTCTTCTTTGTCTTTGTTTTCATCTTCTTTATCTCTGTGCTGCATCCCTTCATGGCTCTCCACAACTTCGTATCCCTTGTTGCCCTTAGCAGTTTTTCTCCCATTGCTAAGACTCAACCCCCCCCCATTCTACCATCTAAGCTTGTCAGGTAAGTGTCACACCACCTCCCCCCAGACTCTCTCAAAGTCTATCATTTTGTAGGGCGTTTTAATATAATCTGCCTGTATTATAGATCTTTTTGTGTTAATCTTCATGTGAAAGGCAAAAGCCTCAAAATAAACAGACATTACTACAACAATCAGGTTTGTGACAAAACAAGAAAGTATTTAACTATTCTAGAAGTCGGAAGAAAAATCACAGACTTCTTCACAACATGGGTGATCATGTCTCTCCACTACTTCCTATCTCTTGTTGGGTTAGTTTTTCCCCCTTTGATAAGGCTCCTGTCCACTGTTCTGCCATCCATTCACACAAGCTCCTTAGGTAAGTAGCTCACTACCTCCCCTATCTTACTTTGCCTCACTATCATTCATGACAGTTAAGTTTTCCAAGCCCTCCTTCATTGCTATGTGTTGAAGGAATTTCAGCTGTCTTTTCTTGATTCTGAGTATAAGTGATATTTCTTTTGCCATTTTCTTAAAGACTTCCTTGTTGCTTACTCACTTTGTCCCCACCCCCCCAGAAAACTCAAAAAATACTGATATTCATTGACATGAACATTGCTTTTATGACAGCAACATTTACTTCACTTCTTTTCTGATTTACTTGTTAAGTGGACATAAATTTGTCTTCATTGTAATTAGAACAGTTTTTATTTTATGTCACAATCAGAACACTTGAAGTTTGTTTTTTTTTTATTGGCTTTGTGAATGCTAGAAACATGAAACTTTTGGACAAACAGGCTCCTGAATTTGTCTGTTCAGATCTTTCAGCTTTTATTCAGAAAACATGTGGAAACGAAATTTCAAATTGCTTCATTAATTTCTACACAGAAACAGATAGTAACAGATTTGGCATTTTGATCCCAAAAAGAAGAATAAGTTTTTAATGATTAAAACCTAAATTTCATTTTACAGTATTAATGTGCATTGTGGCTGAGATAGTTGTATATTTTTTCATCAGTGACAAGAACAGTGGCAGATCTATGAAACTAATGAAGCTTATGCAATTCAATTCATGTGTTATCAATCTGCACTTCTGTTTCATTATTGCCTGCTATCTTGCAAGCTGTTGTTAATGAGATTCTTTTTTTATCGGGTGCTCTGCACATATCATTCCCATAATGAAAGATTAACACAACAGAGTATTCATATCATTGATGCTCTTTAATCTTGTCCCAAGTGGTGGGCGGGTATACAATAAAAACTAATGAAGCTTAGTTTCAGGGTCTAATTCCAGAGGGGCTCCTGAAGCAACTTTTTAAATGAGTGAATTTTTCAACAAAATCAATGTTTTTTTTTAAAGTGTTTCTTATTAAAAATAAGGCTATTTTAGTGATAGAATCATAAGCCAATGGCTTGAAGCAGCAAATGTTGACCTTAGAACATGCACCAATACCCATGTTCATATGGTTTCAAAATTCCCTTGTAATTGATAAAATTTCAGAATTAGAAAACATTCAGTACCTAAACCCCAGCTTCATAGGCTTATTGAGCTTTGCTAGAATCTATTTATAGCCTACATTTTGGCAGTTAGATTCTCAAATCTATTGTTGCTGGTTCAAGCTTCAGGGTCCCAAAAATATCAGTCCACCACTGGCCAAGAGATCTATGTAGAAAACCAGCTAAAAGCTCAACTGAAAAATGGTGATTTTAAATCTTCCTAAACCCCATTTCACTACATTTCACTTTGTACCAATTTATAGTTAGTTGTTTCTCATTTCCAAGTATACCCACTTTTTAGGGTGTGGCTTGCTAATCCCTTTAGCAGCACCCATGCAGGCACATTTGTGTTTCTTCAACACTCACAGAGCTAACCAAATAATCAGACCTTAGTTACAGTTTCGGCACATCATCTGGTATGATCTACAGTTTGAACAAGACTGGTACGCTCAAACCCTCGGTCATGATGACTTGTTATGCATCCACTGATAGCTCAACCTGTTCTATGGTTTTCAGTCACTTACTAATGGTACCACTTACTGGGATCAAGAATCCACATCCCTGTCAAATCAATCATGGTGAGGTTTGAACCCAGATCTCATGCTTGGAATTCTAACATTCTAACCATTCAGAATTGATCTTACTATTTTTTATCAAGGAAAAAATGTAGTTTGTTATCAAAATCATCAAAATCAAATATTTTTTTATAATATTGTATATTCTTCTTCTTCTTCTTCTTCTTCTTCTTCTTATTATTATTATTATTATTATTATTATCATAATCATCATCATCATCATATAATTCTGCCTGTACTTCTATTAGTTCATTAACATATGTATTATACCCTGCCATTACCACAAATAAATAATAGCCCATTCTCTTTTGATTGTGAGAAAAGGTGGAGAGGAAAAATTATATCAGAGATGCTGTTTGCTATTAGTGAAAAAAGAAATCTTGCATAATAATAATAAAGTAAGGGAAGATAGAGGAAGTGATAATGCTGTCATGCATTTAACGTCTGCTTCAGTGAAATGTGAAACTTTGTCAATTTTAAATCATTCCATTTGTACCCTCTTACTTCTTTAAATAATGGCCTGCATCCATACATATGATCATTATTGTAATATTTTTTTTTAAATTGTTAAGCTCAAATATTTAACGATTCCATAGGAGAATTTCCATGAGTTATGGAAATTTCAAGGATCTTATTCAATCATTCACTTAAGAATTATAGATAAAATGTTCAAATTCCAAAACCATGAAATTTTCACAGACACTACCAGTTATCCTTATTATTAGCATTTTTTGGTGACTATTTGGAGGGGGGCAGGTGCAACTGACAGCAAATGCACTTCATAACTTTAGTGATGTCTTCTATTATTAACCAATGTTCCTATAGCTTGAAACATTTCAATTTTTCACCTTCGTTAGTAGTTTGCAATCAGTAGTCTTGTTTGAGAGTGGTTTCCAAACTAAAACAACCCCCCCCCCTCCCAACAACCCTTGTGAACTACTTAAAAAATATGTGTAAACACCTACCATGATATCAAAAGGATTTTCTTTTCACAGACATGGGACTTGCAAACTCTCAGTGGTCTTCAGAACCCACTTTGAGAAACATTGCTTAAATGATTAAACATTAAAACAATATGAAAAAGAGCTCCATGTACTAACGACTTAAGATTCATTAGCATGCCAGAATTAGTATGCTTATCACACTTACGAAACACCCTGAGTTGATATCATATTGCAAATAGATTGTTAATAAGAATCGCTTTTCTTT